TGGAGATGTGAAACTTGATCTCCTTCCCTACCTCCTCCCTCCCTCCTCCTCCTCCTCCACCACTGCCACCTCGCCAGAGAGCCTCCGAGACTCCCTGAGTAATCTGATCCTCAGTCTCTGGGACTGGAAACACACTCCTAGACAGAGAGAGAGGTGGAGGAGGGTAAGAAAAGGAGAAATGGAGGGAAAAAAATAGAAACAGAGCCGAGGGAAAGAGAGAGATCCCCGAGCTCAGAAACACTCCCAGGAGACAGAAAGCTGAGAGGAAGTAGACCGAGAAGAGGAATGAAGAAAGGGGACAAAACAGAGAAAGAAACAGAGTAGAAAGGACAGACTAGAGACGAGAAACAAGACGTCAAGATACCGTCACGATAACTGCAGCATTACATTTGTAAAAACCGGCATTTTCCACATTCAAATAATCATATTTATCGTTACTCATAGTTTGGATGTGAGCTGTTACTTTCTTTAAGGTGAATCTAGTTCAGCTTCTAACGAGGAGCCAATAAAAGAAGTAATGTGAAAGATGTAGGAAACAAAGAAGGGAACAAAACCAAATGAGGGAAAGTGAAGGAAAAATACATGCTGATGGATTTCAGTGTTTTTTTTAATTTAATGTGATTTAATAAGAATATCAATTGAGTCACAAATTATGTGAAACACAAACAGGAAAGTTGATTTAGACAGTAATAATCTGTCCACTGACAGTTTGGTGATAACAGAAAATGTCCACCTGTGAAATTATTTTCGATCAGTGGCTACGTGACTTTATTTACCAACACATAGTTTGTAGACTTGACTGTTGAAAGTGTGGATATGAAAAGTTTGGTCTACAACGAACCACTAGGTACACCCTACTCTATAAGCTACAATGTCAACACTCCAAGCTACACGTTACAAGCTACAAGCTACAATGTCTTGTGCTACCACAAGGTACATGCTGCAAGATGCTACAGGATGCTACAGGCTACAAGCTAAAAGCTACACGGTTTTCTAGCTGGCGAGTGTTTTTCAATGCATTTGATTAGCCAGTAAAGTCACTGACACTGGACTGTTCAGTGGAAAAATCTAATCCGTTATCAATTGTATTTCGTTCCGAGCCCTCTGTGGCAGCACGTCTGGTCTGAGGCGAGCGTTTCTCTGGCTGATATTTGATTTTTCCTAAAAGCAGCCCGGCCAGACTCCAGCAGCATTAACTGGTCTTTTCCTGGAGACTGGTCTGGTCCCAGTACAGAGGTGGTGGTGGTGTCATTCTATGAGAATAGATCTGCAGCTACAAACACCACACGCGGTATAGACTGAGCGACACCACGGACTAATCACTGAATGATAAACAATCAGTGGGTGAAGGAGAGATATCACGGCGTCTGTGTCCTCACTGATAGATGGAAGGTGGACATAAAATGAAAGCGTGGCGAGACATATTTTAACCTTTGTCCGTCCCGTCAGTGCTGCCTGTAGAATACAGGTCTAATTGTGTCAGTGGCATTTAGTGCCATGCAACATATAACTAAATAACAATGTTGTGCTAGAGCTGAGGAGATTGGTCAATTAATAGATTAGTCTTCAGTAATTTTTCAAGAAACATTTCTAAACATCCCATAGTACCGGCCAGCTTCTCCAGATGTTCTGCTTTTCTTCGTCATAGGCGACAGTAAACTGCGTCTCTCCGACTCCAAACAGCAAAGACGTGAAGAAGAAGACAGAGGTGACGAACACTCTGCTGAACAAATACGCGTCCTCGGATTGTATTTAGTCTTTGGCTTCAGGAATACGTCGCTCTATCTCCCTCTCTTTTGTTGTGGCTTTAGCTCGCCCACCGTCAGTCACTCTGTTATTTCGGTAACACAGATCCTGGGCTGGGCTGAGGAATGTACAGCTGTCTGGCATATGGATAATACTAGATTTTAATTTCCAACAACGCCTACCCCCCTCCAATATGGAGGAGGAAATGGACTGCAAAGGGATAGAAGTGCAGAGTGTCTTTCTTTTTAAATGGTAGAGCTGAAGGTACAAGACTCAAACTATCGTCAGTGCTTTTTAAGCTCATCATTGATATTCTATCACATAAAAAAAGATCTTACTAGGGTGATGGGGGACAAAAATGCATCCAAACATGTATCTGAGGATAATTTAAGGTCTGTGTTAATCAAAAGACACAAGTCTGTGTGTGTTACTCCATCGAAGCTCAACACAAAGAGGGCATTCTGTGCTGAAGCTTCGTGTTAACCTCAGATAAACTTTGGAATATATTTTTGCATAGAATGAAGTGTGGAAGTTGTTCCCCGTCTCTTTAAATAGCCAGTACGGAGAGGAACAATGATGACAACAAAGCAAAGCCTGCTTCAACATTCACACGAACGAATTTAGACAGATTTTATCAACTGTTAAACTTGACCGACATTTAGGCGGATGAGACAGCTGACTGACCATCTAACCTGCAAAACCATGATATCAAGAACACAAGTTAATTTACCAGACAAGAGTCTGATTGACGTTAAAATGTTCGTGCATCACCACACCGACTATCGACTGGTGTCAGTTACAATCTTGCTCTAATTTAGTGTAACGTAAATTGCTCGTTTAGTCTAAAAGCAAAGATGAAATCTGTTCACATGGATGAATAAATACACCTTCCCCGATACATAAACAGACATTCATGAGACCAACATATTCAGAATCTAAGATATTATTTTCTCTTCTTTCAATATTGTTTTCTTAATGTTTGATGTCTCCTCTGATCTAAACAGTGACGTCAAGATAAAAGCAAAAACAGGAACATCAAATAAAAAAAGATATTTATGAACTTTGGTCATTTAACGGAAGATGACTTGATGCAATAGGTTTATTTTTAAGTACTTATTTCCCCTTTTTTCAGACAAATTTATTTCCACAGACGTGAACTCAGAATAAAGGTTTGTTAAGTTAAGTTAACTAAAAGGGTTTTAAATACAGCTGGACTCAATGTGACACCTGTATGTTGCTTGGGATAACAAAGATGGTGAAAGTCACAATGAACTTAAAGCCAAAAGGCATTCGATTGGTCAGACAATCCATCAGTGAGCAGGGAGCGCTTGATTTCAACACACACTGAGTGGAAACGATCAATAATCGCACCCAGTTTAAGAGTTAAATGGTGTCGCAAGAGGAACTGTACAGACTCAAAACAGAATTTTAGATTATGACATTTTGAACATGTAGTCAGTAACGGGTGAGGTGAGAGCAGACTTGACACTTCAAGAGAGACACTTATGATCACTAGAGCTGATCGATTGATCCACATATTGATTATTTAATTAACCCTTTCAGCATCAGAGTGAGCAGCCAGATTAATTCAGACCAAGACAACAAGCGACCCACATTATCCAACAGTTAAAGTAAAACTATGTTTACTATTAGCAGGTACAACTACCAGCTCACAGCTAAGACTGAAGCTGTGAAGAGAAATCAATCCTCATCAATAGAAAGTGGAACTGAATCTTCTACGAAAACAGAAATAAATGGTTTGTATTTAAAAAAGAAGCGTCATTCACGAGAGCTGGACATTGGTTCATTGTGTTAGTAATACTGGTGAAGTTTGTGTAAAACAGACATTTGCTTTGGATGATGATGATCTATAGAAACACTAAATTCTTCAGTTTTCCTGACACTAATATGGTCAGAAATAGTTACCGGTGAAGCCTTTAAGGGTCCAAATAACAAATATTGTCAGTCATCCATTGATACAATGATATTGTTCACTAGTCATTGTAATGTGTTTATTATCATCTTCATGGACTTGTATACATGATCAGTAATAACAACTCCTCTTAAAGGCTTGAAGACTGCGTGGGATCTTCTGCTGCTGTACAAAGTGAATATAGTTGGGTTTTTGCACAAAACAAATCACTTGTTTACTGTTTTATGATGTTTTATAGATTAAACGTATTTAAAGTACGATACACAGATTACCTGATAATGAATATAACATTTAGTTTCAGTCTTAAATGTGTGCAACATGAAACTAATACAGATAATTGGTCATTTTTTCTGAATGGTACTTTTCACCGAGTGCAACAAGTGTGTTTCACATAAACTATAAAACGTAAACTTTAAGTCTCTAAAGTGGATCTAAGCCAAAGTAACAAAACCCACATCTGCTGATCTGACTGTGTTTTGTTCTGCTTCTCTGTTCAATTTAATTAAGCTTGTTTATCTCTTGAACAGAGCCATAAACAACACACAGGCTGGTACAACCAAACCGAAAACAACAACATCAAATGTTGATTTAAAAGTCTTGTTTAAATGTGATAAAAACCTGAAAACATGCAACATTATAAGTTATTTCCCAGACAAAGTTAGCAGACGATGCTAACAACATAAACTATGCTTTAGTGCAAGAAAACAACAATTTTAACGAAATAAATTACTAAAAATCAGCATACACTCCTCTTTGACCACAATAACGTGGACGCTAACTTGGTAGCACACGTTCAGGCTTTACTATAATTACAGGCGAGCGATGTAAACTATGCAGCAAAGTGAGCCAACAGAGGAATGTGGCAACAACTCAGCAACTTCTATACAAAACTACTGCAAAAGTCTCCGTGATCAACAATATTAAGTTCATTATTTGCTTGTTGTTTTAAACTGCGATTACAAACTTCGTGCCGCAACCAGAAGTGAATCAAAGTTTTTATTTTTCCACGACAGCAGCCAGAAAGGGTCCGTCTATCTCCTGGCGCACAACACACACACACACACACACACACACTCCAAAAAAAATCTGTTCACCGAACTACCTGTTGTTTACAGTAACGTTTTCCACGACCTTACTACACAGTAATGAGCATAATATATTCATGCATGTACATTTTTTAAATATCCATATTGTAAAGTATTAAAGTCAGGTTGTTTAAACTCGAAAAATACGTAAACACGGAGTGTGTTCGCCCCAGGGTTTAGACGGAGCCCAGAAGTAGGGCTCAGATCGGGAATGAAGTTTTGGGATTCTTCCTTACCTTTTCTCCTTCTTTCTTTAATTTATCTCTGCGTGTGCTGAGCTCATTTCGACGCTATTTCTTCGTAGTAGTTCAAGTAAAAGTCCCACCATAATAACATGATAAAAAACCGCAATTTAACACGTTTGTTTCTCCAATATTTTCGCCGTCGTACAGTCCTCAAGCTCCCCGATCCAGTCGGTCTGTGGTCGGGGCTGCTTGATGATGGAGGACAGCAAATACCAGCCGAACAAAGATCGCCTATGATCGGGAAGGATGGATCACTCTGTTGTGGTTCAAAAACAAAAAGTCCGAATTTCCGGTTGGCAAAGAGGTGGGTGTTGACTGACCACGCATGCGTCAAAGATGTACACCTTTCAGGTATCTACAAGAGAGTGTTGAGTTTTCATTTTCTGATGGACTTTCTGAATTTTCAAGTTGTGACATCTACACACACAAGCTAGTTATTTATTTTTTTATTTATTGGTTTATTTAATAAGGGACAGTGCACATTAATACAAGCATTGCTGGAAATGCGCCACAGTTAGCCAAGAGGCTATTTAGCATCTGTAGTCCCAAGAGGCACAAAGTAAACATAAAAACAGAATATAAGATTCAATTTACAAAGTTATGCAAGATTGACCCTTTACAATGCGTGCATAAAACAATGAAAGAAGTGAAAATATTAATATAAGTAGTAACATCAATCAGGAGAATCTCATACTACATTGTTATGTACTAACAAGACATGCAACACAGAGGCTCTCAAATTAAACACACACAAAGCAAATAAAACGAGGGATAAATATGTTAAACAAGGTTGACAAATAAATCTGACTCCATATCTCAGGGTTGACTACTGAGCAGACTCTATCCACAGATGAAGATGAGATTATGTTCTTAAGATCTGGAAAAACCTTGTAGTTTTATTCTAAGTGGATTCAACATTATTTTGTCAAACATTTTTCTTGATAAAGCTTTTTAAGAGTTGTTTGACAAAACATCTCCACTTACCTTTCAACGGTCAATTATAAACCTCCAAGCTAAAATAATATATATGTAAAACAAAAATCTACGATGTTGTTTACAAACCACCAGTGAAAAAAACCAGTATTATGAAAGCCAGTATTTCAGTTGAGCTTTTATTCTTCCGAACATAAGTAAATATCAACAAGTATATTACTCATTACTTTTGGTGTCCCGATATAGTGGCAGAGTGAGAACTCTTGTCTGTTTTTCCTCCTCTGTGCTTCCAATCACTGCGGCTCTGTGACTGGGACTTTTATTTTGAAGTCAAATATAAGAGCGACCCAAGCGCCGTCTGGTGTTGATTAAGGGAACATCATGTTCTCGAACCTACCTCTACTACTACTACTAGTAAATATGAAACAATAAAGCTGAAGCCAACACTGCTTTTTTGGAGGTACTGCTGGGATTTGAACCCAGAATCTCTTGTTTACAAGACAGGCACTTTGACCAACTAAGCCACAGCGCCTCCGGGACTGACTATTCGTTAAATTTTGAACTTTTGGTCATATTCACAGATATGACACAATAAAGTCAAAGGT